GCTAGAGAGGGTGAGGGCCCCGTCGTGCCCAGACCCTGTCGCACCACGAGACACGGTCGGCGAGTCAGGTTTTTTGGGAATGCAGCCCCAATCAGACGGTAAATTCCATCCAAGGCTAAATACTGGCGAGAGACCGATAGCGAACAAGTACCGCGAGGGAAAGATGAAAGGAATTTGAAAAGAGTGTCAAAGAAAGCTTGAAATTGTCGGGAGGGAAGCGGATGGGGGTCGGCGATGTGCCTTGGTCGGATATGGGCGGTTCATCATGGTTGATGGCAAGGTGCGACCGTGTTTGATGCAATCCACAACGTCTCTCCAGTCGCTTTGTCCCTCGGAAAAGTGTGCTCTGTTGAGGTGTCGGCTTGGCCTCACAATGCCGAGATGGGTGGTTATGGGCATCCCTTGGACATGCTGAGGCTTCTAGTGTGACCCGTTCGGCATGGAAGGATGTGGGTCTTCGCATTCCCTTCAGTTGCATATCCGTATCACGAAGGGGCAAGTTTCCAAACATCCGAAAGTGCACTCTGGGCGGTTCATCATGGTCGAAGCCAAGGCAAGGCCATGGTTGAAGCAATCAACAACTCGTCTCATGTCGCCTCGTCCCTTGGAAAAGTGCGCTCTGCTGAGGTGCCGACCTGGCCTCATAGTGCCGAGATGGGTAGTTGTGGGCATCCCTCGGACGCGCCGAGGCTTCTAGTGTGACCCGTTCGGCACGGAAGGATGTGGGTCTACGCGTTCTGTCTAGTGGCATACCCGTAGCACGAAGGGTAAGTTTCAAAACATCCGGAAGTGCGATCTGGGCGGTTCAACACGGTCGAAGACAAGGCACGACCATTGTTGAAGCTTCATCAACTCGTCTCCTGTCGCCTCGTCCCTCGGAAAAGTGTGCTCTGTTGAAGTTCCATCCTAGCCTCAAAGTGCCGAGATGGCTAGTTATGGGCGTCCTTCGGACGCGCCGAGGCTTCTAGTGTGATCCGTTCTGCGCGGAAGGATGTGGCGCTATGTGAGGGCTTCATGGGCACATCCGTAGCACGATGGGGAAATTATCCAAGCATCCTGTAGTGCACTTTGGGCGGTTAAACATGGTTGAAGCCATGGCATGGACGTGGTTGACGCAATCAACAACGTGTCTCCTGTTGCCTGTCCCTCGGAAAAGTGTGCTTCTAGTGTGACCCGTTCGGCACGGAAGGATGTGGGTCTACGCGTTCCCTTCAGTGGCATATCCATAGCACGAAGGGGCAAGTTTCCAAACATTCGGAAGTGCACTCTAGGCGGTTCAACACGGTCGAAGCCAAAACAAGGCCATGGTTGAAGCAATCAACAACTCGTCTCATGCCGCCTCGTCCCTCGGAAAAGTGTGCTCTGCTGAGGTGCAGACCTGGCCTCACAGTGTCGAGATTGTTAGTTGTGGGCATCCCTCGGACGCGCCGAGGCTTCTAGTGCGACAACAACTCGTCTCCTGTTGCCTCGTCCCTCGGAAAAGTGGGCTTTGTTGAGGTGCCAGTCTGGCCTCACAGTGCCGAGATGGTTAGTTGTGGGCGACCCTCGGACGCGCCGAGGCTTATAGTGTGATCTGTTCTACGCGGAAGGATGTGGCGTTATGTGATGCCTTCACGTGAAAATCCGTAGCACGAAGGGGAAATTATCCAATCATCTTGTGGTGCACTTTGGGCGGTTCAACATAGTTTAAGTCATGGCACGAACGTGGTTGATGCAATCAACAACGTGTCTCCTGTTGCCTGTCCCTCGAAAAAGTTTGCGCTGTTGAGGTGTCGGCCTGGCCTCACAGTTCCGAGATGGGTAGTTGTGGGCATCCCTCGATCATGCCGAGGCTTCTCGTGTGACCCGTTCTGCACGGAAGGATGTGGCGCTAGGTGTTGCTTTCATGGGCATAGATGTAGCATGAAGGGGCAAGTTTCCAAGCATCCGAAAGTGCACTTTTGGCCGTTGAACATGGTTGAGGCCATGGCGCGGTAGTGGTTGAGGCCATCTGCAACGTGTCTCCTGTTGCCTGTTCCTCGGAAAAGTGTGCGCTGTTGAGGTGCCGGCATGGCCTCGTAGTGCCGAGATGGGTAGTTGTGGGCATCCCTCGGACGTGACGAGTCTTCTATTGTGACCCGTTCTGCACGGAAGGATGTGGCTCTACGTGATGCCTTCACCAGCCTAGTCGTAGAACCAAGGGGCAAGTTACCAAGCATCCGGAAGTGCACTTCGTGCGGTTCAACATGGTTGAAGCCATGGCGAGGTCGTGGTTAACGCAATCAACAAGCTGTCTAAGGTCGCCTTGTCCCTCGGAAAAGTGTGCTCTGTTGAGGTGTCGACTTGTCCGCATAGTGCTGAGATGGGTAGTTGCGGGAATCCCTCAAAATTGTTGTGTCTTCTAGTGTGGCATGTTCTGCACTGATGGTTGTGGTGCTCGGTGACCTTTCATGGGCATAGCTGCAGCACCATCCCAAGCATCCAGAAGTGTAGTTGAGGTTCAATACGGTTTAAGCCATGGCGCGGTCGTGGTTGACGCAATCAACAATGTGTCTCCTATCGCCTTGTCCCTCCGAAAAGTGTGTGCAGTTGAGGTGCGGACCTGGCCTCACAGTGCAGAGTTAGGTAGTTGCGGGAATCCCTCGAAATTGTCGTGGCTTCTAGTGTGGCTCGTTCTGCACGGAAGGTTGTGGTGTTCAGTGAACCCTTCATGGGCATAGCTGTAGAGCACGAAGAGGCGAAAGTCCCATAATCTAGTAGTGTGTTGTGGTGGGTGGTTCTCATTGCTGAAGCGAAGGTCTTGATTGTGGCCTCTCAGCACATATTTTGTTAAAGATAAAGCCATGTGACACTGTGTTGCTTGTTGGCTTGTGACTCTTAGAAGTGTGTGGTGGGGCTGGGTTGGCCTCACAACAGTTCAGAGTTTGGGAATTCACGCAGTCCCTTATTCATGTGTTGCATCTAGAATCACTTGGCTCATCAAGATGGATATCTTGAATTTTCAGTTTTCCACTTTGATCTTCGAGGGTTGTGGATTCGCAACTTGTGTGTGCGATTAGTCGAATTGGTGCAAAGTCCACGATACACACATAGTCCCTTATTCATGTGGTGCGTGGCCTAGCCTATGTGGTACTAGGTGAAAGTGCGAGGTGATATTGACCCATGTGGTACTAGGTGAAAGTGACCAAGCTATGGCACGTGTGTCCCGAGTGGTACTAGGTGAAAGTGACCAAGCCATGGCACATGTGCCTCGAGTGGTACTAGGTGATATTGCCCCATGCCATGCCCCGTGCCTCGTGTGAGGTTTTTGATTCACTTGCATGCCCCGACCCCTTCGTCAAATGCCTCCCAATTTGGAGGACAACTGGGAATTTTTTAGCCATGGTGGCCTGCAACGCTTCAAGTCACAATTCAAGTCCTTGGCGATGTTGTTCGTTAGTGCATCATGGATTGTGCCGCACGTTGGTTGAAAATTATTTGTGGTAAATGCCTCGACCTTACATGGAAGTAACTCTGGGAAATGTTTAAGAATAATATTCCTGCCACTGCTGCAAAGGAACAGCTCAAGAAACATGGTCCACACTCATTTTCTATTTTTCGGGAATGATAGAACGCTCGTCGGATAGGAAAATCATTAAAAAGTATCAGCTTGGAGAAAAATCGTGAAACTTTGTGGAACGCTTGCTCCCATTTTTATAAGCACTTGTGCAAAAAATCAGGTAAAACTTCGACCTGTAGCCTAAAAAAACTCGAGTATGTCTCCCTAGAAAAAAGGATGTCCGGTGTCGGGGAGTGGGTTTTTGCATATTAGGGGAGTAGGAGTTAAGGAATTTAGGAGTTTAGGAAAGTTTAGGAGTCTAGTTGTTTAGGAGTTTAGGAGAGTTTAGGAGTTTAGGAGAGTTTAGGGGAGTTTAGGAGTTTAGGAGAGTTTAGGAGTTTAGAAGTTTTGGAGAGTTTAGGAGTGTAGGAGAGTTTAGTAGAGTTTAGGAGTTTCGGTGTTTAGGAGAGTTTAGGAGTTTTTGAGTTTCTGAGTTTTGGAGTTTAGAAGTTTAGGAGTTTAGGAGTTTAAGAGAGTTTAGGTGTTTAGGAGTTTAGGAGTTTTCAGGAGTTTAGGAGTTTAGGAGAGTTTAGGAGAGTATTGGACATTAGGAGAGTCTAGGAGAGTATAGGATTTAGGAGTTTAGGAGAGTTTAGGAGTTTCAGAGAGTTTAGGATTTTAGGAGAGTTTAGGAGTTTTTGAGTTTCGGAGTTTTGGAGTTTAGAAGTTTAGGAGTTTAGGAGTTTAAGAGAGTTTAGGTGTTTAGGAGTTTAGGAGTTTTCAGGAGTTTAGGAGAGTTTAGGAGAGTTTAGGAGAGTATTGGACATTAGGAGAGTCTAGGAGAGTTTAGGAGTTTAGGAGTATAGGAGAGTTTAGGTGTTTCGGAGTTTAGGAGTTTAGGAGTTCAGGAGAGTTTAGGAGAGTTTAGGAGTTTAGGAGAGTTTAGGAAAGTTTAGGAGTTTAGGAGAGTTTAGGAATGTTTAGGAGTTTGGGAGAGTTTATGAGAGTTTAGGAGTATTGGAATTTAGGAGTTTAGGAGAGATTAGGAATTTAGGAGTTTAGAGGAGTTTAGGAGTTTAGGAGAGTTTAGGAGTTTTGAAGTTTAGGAGTTAAGGAGATTTTAGGAGAGTTTAGGTGTTTAGGATAGTTTAGTAGAGTTTAGGAGTTTCGGAGTCTAGGAGAGTTTAGGAATTTAGGAGTTTTGGAGAGTTTAGGATTTTAGGAATGTTTAAGAGTTTAGGAGAGTTTAGGAGTTTAGGAGTTTATGAGAGTTTAGGGGAGTTTAGGAGTTTATGAGAGTTTAGGAGTTTAGGAGTTCGGGAGAGCTTAGTAGTTTAGGAGAGTTTAGGAGTTTAGGAGAGTTTAGGAGTTTAGGAGTTTAGGAGAGCTTTGGAGTTTAGGAGTTTAGGAGAGTTTAGGAGTTTAAGAGTTTAGGAGTTTATGGGAGTTTATGAGTTTAGGAGAGTTTAGGAGTTTAGGAGTTTCGGAGTTTTGGAGTTTAGAAGTTTTGGAGTTTAGGAGTTTTGGAGAGTTTATGAGACCTTAGGACTTTAGGAGTTTAGAAGTGTTTGGAGTTTTCAGGAGTTTAGGAGTTTAGGAGAGTTTAGGACATTAGAAGAGTTTAGGAGTTTAGGAGTTTTGGAGAGTTTAGGAGTTTAGGAGAGTTTAGGAGTTTAGGAGAGTTTAGGAGTTTAGGAGAGTTTAGGAAAGTTTAGGAGTTTAGGAGAGTTTAGGAAAGTTTAGGAGTTTAGGAGAGTTTATGAGAGTTTAGGAGTTTAGGAGTTTAGGAGTTTAGGAGTTTAGTAGTTTTGGAGTTTAGGAGTTTAGGGGTGTAGGAGTTATGGAATTTAGGAGTTTAGCAGAGTTTAGGAGTTTAGGAGAGTTTAGGAGTTTAGGAGTTTTGGAGTTTATTAGAGTTTAGGAGTG